AAACGTCAGCCTTTCTGCTCCTATGATGCTGCTTGGCCTGCTGTGTTCATCCAGCTCTGCACCTTGTTGTCTCGGATTCTCCAGCATTTGCAGTTCCTACTATCTCGGGTATCTGAAGATGTCAGTTATAGTTAATATTGTTATACAGAATAATGATTAATGTTTTGGGTTCAGTGACCCTTCTTTTGAGGATCACTGGATCTGAAATATTAACTCGGATTTCCTTCCACAGATGCTGCCAGATCTGCTGAATTTTTTCCTGCAATTTGTGTTTTTGGTTCTGATTTACAGCATCTGCAGATCTTTCAGTTTTTTGTACAGCATAGCAGGTGCTTTAAATTTATTCTTAGGATGTCATAACACTCAAGACTTTGGCCCTAATGCGGGAAAGTGGGACTATTGTAGGATAAGATAGCCGCGGAGTAGGATGCTCCAGCCTGAGCTCCTCTGTTCTGCCCATTCTTTTTCTTTCTTCCTTTCCCTGTTCCCTTCCTTCTCTCCCTTCTCTTGGCCTTGGACACCCAGCCCTGGCCTCTGACGTGGGATGGGCTGAGACGCCAGCAGTTGGAGCAGGGACGCCAGCAGCCAAGTGTGGAGCAGGATAGTGGCCCAGAGCGAAGCGTGTTGGCAGCCAGCAGCCAGACCACATGGAGGTCCCTTGAAATGGTCTGCTGTGGAGAGCCTTTGGAGAGAGACTGTGATGTTTGTCTTTTTAACTTTGCTTCTTGTATTTCTGACCTATGGTCATATTGTGTATAGCTATAATTTTTTTTCTTCATTTCTCTATTTGAAACTAAGGATTATACCTGGGTGTCATTGTACCTAAGATGGTGCTGTAAGTGGCGACTTTTCACTGAACTCACTTGAGTACATGTGACCATAAAGCTAATTCAATTCAATTCAATACAGTAAAATTCAATTAGTGGTTAATTTTTAGCAGTGCAGACTTGATGGGCCAAAGGGACACTGCATAATTCTGTGTGAGTGCTGTGAGAATCTGTAACTGAGCCACGTATTAGCTAATGAACCCACTTAACAGGACATTGTTAGGGACTGGCAATAAATGCTGGCCAATCAGTGATCCCCACATTCCATGAGTAAATTAAGAAAATTGTTAAGAAGCAAGCCTGATATTATTAGGAGATTTATGAGCTCCATAGAGTTCCAGTTGGCCTCAACATAATGGTTTTATAGTGGGGACAATTAATGAAGGTTCCTGCTCCCGATTCTTAAATCAGTGACCTCAGGTGCAGAACATGTATATCGAAAATAGGTGAGGACAATATAAAGCCCAGATGTAATTCCCGCAGACTTGAATATTCTGCTGATGGTCAGTATTTGACATGTTGTAGCAAACTGAACCCTGAAATCCTCTGGACAGGTGGAAGCACCAGAAAAAAAACAGTTGGATTTATTCTTCTGGTGATAAAGGTGAATTTATTTCTCCCAGACGGTGGTGAATTTGTGGAATTCTTTATTGCAGGGACTGACTGAGGCTGGGTTGTTAAGTATTTTCAAGAGATAGACAGATTTTTAATTAGTAAGGAATCAAGAGTTAAGGTGAAAAGACAGCAACGTGGAGTTGAGAATGATTAGATCAACCATGATCTCATTGAATGGTGAACAGATGGTTGAATGGTCTACTTCTTCTGCCATATCTTATTGTCTTTGTAACTCCTATTTTACTCTTTCAGACGAAAGGCAATGAAAGGCAGGCTATACTTCACAGCCAAGGCTCAAAAGGAAGGAAAGATAATGATTAAGACCCATCCATTGGCCAGGATCTGTTGCTGCGATTTCTGTGGGTTTGAACAGGTGAGAAGAATCAGGTTACAAATAAGCAGATATGTTAAAAGCAGGCAGCACGCAGAAAGCTGGAGAGGGTGGAGGAGTGGGGCTGCCTGGAGAACAAGGTCAGGGTGGGGGAGGGCAGAGGAGCTGCCTCAGCACAAGGAGTCCAGAGAAGCTGTGCCTACTGTGTTCATCCAGCTCTGCACCTTGTTGTCCAGAGAAGCTTCCTGGGTATGGGGTCTGTGGAGAAGCTACCTGAGCGATGGAGTGTCAATGAGTGCGAGAGTGGGGTCAGGGGATGGGGGCCTCAGTGAGGTGGGTTGGAGGAGGTGCCTCAGCGAAGTGGACCAGGAGGGATGTCTTGATGAGTGCGGACGGGAAGAATGGAGGATCTACCTCAGCGAGGGGGAGGATTGTAAGAGCTGCCTCAGTGAGGAGGGTTTGGAGAAGCTGCCTCAGAGGTGGCCAGAGGAGCTGCCTCAGTGAGTGTGGTGGTGGTGGGGGGGGTGGACTTTGGAGGAGCTGCCTCAGAGGGGGCAGAGGAGTTGTATCAGTGATTGCAGGAGTGGTTGGAGGGTGTGAGAGGATGGAGGAGCTTCCTCTGTGAAGGGGAGCGTAGAGGGGATTTCTCAGTGTGGGAGCTGAAGATGCTGCCTGAACAAGGGTGTTTGTGGTGGAGCTGCCTCAGTCAGGGGATGGAGGAGATGTTTTCTCTATGGAAAGGCAACAACTGTTTGGGCAGGTGGATGGGAAGCAGCCACCAATGGCATGGCCTGAGATGGAGGGGATTCTTAGGTCAATGGAAGAGACAAGGTAATGGTTCACAGGCTGACAGGGTGTCACTCGCTGAGAATCATGAGAAGACCAATCATTGGGATCATGGTGTAGAGAGTGAGGACATAGAGTTGGCAGAGGAATGGATATGGCCATCAAAGAATTTTCTCAGTTGTAAGTTCGGTTTTGACAGCTGATTTGAGGAGATGCTGTAGCATGTTGGGTTGTGGGCATTTGTCGGCAAGGGAGCTGAGAAAATGACCATGGGTTTAGAAGGGAGTGTGTGAGTTGACATTGTGATTTTAGAGTTTTGGGTGGGTGTGAGGGGCGAGCACTAGAGGAACTAATTTTGGTGTAACTGGGATAAAATTCAAGAGAACTGAGGTAGAGTTTTTAAGCAGCCAGCCTTGACATTTGGACACCACATGGCAGACTGTATTGTGCTTCCCAGATTGGTGGTTTGGCAAATGTGAGCAAAAAGGCTGAACTCCAGAGGTGAGCCCTTGATATCAAGGCCATATTTAACGGAGTGTGGCATCAAGGAGCCCTAGCAAAATTGGAATCAATGGGAATTGGGAAAAAGCCTATGCTGTTAGGAGTCACACCTAACACATTGGAAGATGATTGTGCTTGTTGCAGGTCAATCATTTCAACTTCGAGGCTATAAGCTACATAACCAGCTTGTTACCTAGTATCTCCATCTCTTTTGCAGGTGGATGCAGAGCAATACTACAGTGAATTGGAGGAGAAGCTAACAGATGAGTTTAATGCTGAGCGGAATCGGATTACCTTGAAAAGGCTGGGGATGGGTTTTGTAACCTTCCAGGATGAGCGGATGACAGCTGTGTGAGTGTCTGTGAGTGGAGAGATGGATATTCATTTGGTTTGTTCATAGACTTTCCATTTGCCATTTTATACAATTAATCTGACCAAGAATTATGTGCCCCTCCACACCCTGGCACTGGCATTACACTAATTAAAACTGGCTCTACGCTGCCTCTTTACTCCCTGGCCCTAGACTAACATTTTTTTTATTCACTTGTGGGACATGGCTATTGCTGGCTGGACAGCATTTATTGCCCGTCCCTAGTTGTTCTTGAGAAGGTGGTGAGCTGCCTTCTTGAACCACTGCAGTCCATGTGCTGTATGTAGACCCACAATGCCCTTAGGGAGGGAATTCCAAGATTTTGACCCAGCGACCCTGAAGTGATGGCGATACATTTCCAAATCAGAATGGTGCGTGGCTTGGAGTGGTAATTGTGGGTGATGGGGTTCTAGAGGGGAGGCAATGGCCTAGTGGTATTATCACTGAACTGTTAATCCAGAGACCCAGATAATGTTCTGGGGACCCGGGTTTGAATCCCGCCACAGTAGATGGTGGAATTTGAATTCAATAAATATCTGGAATTAGGGTCTAATGATGCCCATGAATCCATTGCCGATTGTTGGAAAAACCCATCTGGTTCACTAATGTCCTTTAGGGAAGGAAACTGCCATCCTTACCTGGTCTGGCCTACATGTGACTCCAGACCCACAGCAATGTGGTTGACTTTTTACTACCCTCTGGGCAATTAGGGATGGGCACTAAATGCTGCCTAGCCAGTGATGCCCTCATCCCATGGATGAATAAAAAAAATCTGCTGCCCTTATCCTTCTAGATGGATGTGGTCATGGGTTTGGAAGGTGCTGTCTAAGGATCTTTGATGAATTTCCACAGTGTATCATGTAGATAGTAACACTGCTGCTACTGAGCGGCGGTGGTGGATGGAGTGGTTGCTTGCGGATGTGGTGCCAGACAAGAGAGCTGCTGTGTCCTGGGTTGTGTCAAGCTTCTTGAGTATGGTTGGAGCTGCGTGCCTCCAGACCCTAGACTGCCCCTTTATTCCCTGGCCATACACTAGCCAAAACTGGCCCAACACTGCTCCTCCATTCCCTGGCACTGACCTTTTGATCTCTCTGCCTATAAATTCTGTGCCTACGTGCCTCTGTTCACTTCACCTGATGAAGGAGCAGTGCTCTGAAAGCTTGTAATTTCAAATAAGCCTGTTGGACTATAACCTGGTGTCCTATGACTTCTGACCTAGCACATCCTTCCTTAGATACAGGGCCCAAAACTACCTCACAGTATTCCAAATACAGTCTGACCAGAGCTTATACAGCCTCAGCAGTACACCTCTGCTGTTGTGTTCTAGCCCTCTTGAAATAAATGCTAAAATTGTGCTTGCTGCTCTAACTGCCAACCGAGCCTGCATGTTAACCCTTAGAGAATCCTGGGCTGGGACTCTTAAATCCCTTTATCTTCAGACTTCCGAAGCCCTTCCCCATTTAGAAAATAGTCTATGCCTCTATCCTTCCCGCCAAAGTGCATAACCTGACACCTTCCCAAATTGTATTCCATGTGCCACTTCATTACCCACTCTCCTAGCCTGTCCAAGGTCTTCTGCAACCTCCACACTTCCTCAACACTACCTGTCCCTTCCACTTTCTCAACATGACCTGTCCCTTCACCTATCTTTGTGTCATCTGCAAACTTGGCAACAATGCTCTCAGTTTCTTCGTCCACATAATTTATAACATGAATAGTCATGAAGCCAATGCAGACCCCTGATACAAATCACCCTCACTTTTCAAAATTCTGATAGAAACAAGCCCAGCCTGTCCAAACTATCCTCATAAGACAGCCTATTCAATGCAAGTATTGATCTAATAAGCCTTCTCTGAACTGCATTTGCATTATTCCTTCAATAAGGGAGATCAAACTGCAGGCAGTATTTCAGAAGCATTCTTAGCATCCTTACTTTTATGTTCAATACTTCTCATAACAAAACATAGCATCCAATTAGAGACAGCAAGAACAGTAGATGCTGGAGTCAGAGATAACAGTGTGGAGCTGGAGGAACAAAGCAGGCCAGGCAGCATCAGAGGAGCAGGAAAGCTGACGTTTCGGGTCGGGACTCCTCTTCAGAAATGGGGAGGGGGAAGGAAGCTCAGAAATAAATAGAGAGTGGAGGAGGTGGGGCTGGGAAGGGGGGGTGGGATGGTGATATGTTTTAGAGTAGATTTGTAGCTCGGGTTCTGAATGTAGCGGTTGGTTGGCTCGCTGAGCTGGTTCGTTGTTCCGCAGACGTTTCATTACCCTGCTGGGTAATATCATCAGTGCAGCCTCTGATGAAGGGCTGTTGTGTTTTCCCACCTTTTATTTAAACTCTGGTGTCCGTTGAGCTGGATTAGCTCACTTCCGGTTTTCAGTCTAGTGAAGTACAGTTTTCCGGCCTCCTCCAGTGTCACAATGACACCACCCACAAACTGGAGGAGCAGCGCCTCATTTTCTGCCTCGGGAGCCTACAGCCCAATGGCCTAAACATGGATTTCACCAGTTTTAAAATCTCCCCACCCCCGGCCTCATCCCATGTCCAACCCTTCCTCTCATCCCTGCCTCCTTAACCTGACACAACCTGTCCATCTTCTCTCCCACCTATCCGCTCCTCCCACCTCACTGACCAATCCACACCTGCACTCACCTATCACCATCCCACCCACTTTCCCCAGCCCCACCCGTCCTCTCTATTTATTTCTGAGCTCCCTATAGCTTCCGATTAGCTTTTTGATTACACACTGTACCTGTATGTTAAACTTTTGTGACTTATTCACTGGAATATCTAAATCCCTCTGCATCTTGGAATTCTGCAGTCATTATTCATTTAAGTCATACTCTGCTTTTTTCATGCATCTTGTCCAAGTGAACAACTGCACATTTTCCAACATAATACTCTATCTGCCAGATTTTGACCCCCTCACTCAACTTATTGATGTCTATCCATAACCACCTTGTGGCTTCTTCAGAACCTGCATATCTCCCTATCTTGGTGTCTTTTATGAATTTAGCTAACAAACCTTCATTTTCCTCATCAAAGTCATTGACTGAAATTGTAACAAATAGATGCTCCAGTACAGAACCCTGAAGTACTCTGCTCGTGACATCCTGCCGATCAGAAAAAGACATACTTCTGCATACTGTTTTTCCCGTGAGCCAGCTAAGATTTTATCCGTATTTGTATGTTCTGCCCTATGCATGAGTTTTTATTTTCTAAAATAGCCTTTGATGTGGCAACTCATCAGATGATTTTTGGATGTTCAAGTACAGTATGTCCACAGGCTCCCCTTTTTACCCAAAGCATGTTACTCAAAGAACTCCAAAAAGTTGGTTAAATGCGACTTCCCTTTGACATAACCATGGTCACTGTTCCTAATTACCTTTCATTTTTCTAATTTCATGGCTATAATCTATTTAATGATTAGTTCTTACACTTGCCCCACAACAGGTGTAAAGGTAACTAGTCTATAATTTCCGGCCTCCCTACCTCTTAACTAGAGGGGTTATTTTGTGAATTCAGGGTGTCTTGGAAAATTAACACATCATATCCACTACCTCATTAGCCATTCTTTCAAGAGCGGTTATGTTTTTGAGAGGAGAGAAGCAGCCTGTAATTTGAGGGGCATTGAGAAGGTGAGTGACAGTAGGAAGCAGAGCTGCCGGGATCTCCAGACTTCACAGTTACAAGCCTGCAGGATCAAAAATGAAACTAAATCCTGACTCGCCTGTCTTAAAACACAAAGTATAACTTTAGCTTAAAGTCATACATTGTATTTAACACTGTATTCTCTAGATTGTGATCTAGGAGGTGATCCCATTCTTTTTCTGATTGAAATGAGTGAGTCCCTCAGAGATCTGTGCTAGGGCCTCAATATTTTACATTTATATCAATGACTTAGATAAGGGGAGAAGATCATAGATCATAGATTCCCTACAGTGTGGAAACAGGCCCTTCTGCCCAACAAGTGCACACCGACCCTCAGAACATCCCACCCCGACCCACCCCACTAATCTACACATCCCTGAACACTATGGGCAATTTAGCTTGGCCAATCCACCTAGCCTGCACATCTTTGGACTGTGGGAAGAAACCAGAGCACCCGGAGGAAACCCACACAGACATGGGGAGAATGTGCAAACTCTACACAGACAGTCGCCCGAGGGTGGAATCCAACCTGGGTTCCTAGTGTTGTGAGGCAGCAGTGCTAACCACTGAGCCAAATTTGCAAATAATACAAAGATAGGGAAGTATGTTGTGAAAGGGGCATAAAGAAGCTGCAGACTGAAATAGATGAATGGGCAAGAGAAGGAGCAAAACTTGACCTTCTCTTTGGAAATAAGGCAGGGCAAGTGACTGAGGTGACAGTGGAGGAGCACTTTGGGGCCAGTGATCATAATTTTAGCAGCTTTAAAATAGTTATGGAAAAGGATAGATGAAATCTAAAAGTTAAAGTTCTAAATTAAAGTAAGGCCAATTTTGACAGTAATGAGAGAAGGTTGATTAGGAGAGGCTATTTGCAGGTAAAGGGATGGTTGGAAAATGGGAGGCCTTTAAAAATGAGATAATGAGAGTCTAGAGGCAGTATGTTCCTGAAAGTGTGAAGGGTGCAGCTGGTAGGTGTAGGGAATGGTGGATGATGAGAGAAATTGAGGCTCTGGTCCAGAAAAGAAAGAGGCATATGTCTGGTATAGACAGCTGGGATCGAGTGAATCCATAGAAGAGTATAAGGACTAAGTAATGAGCTGTCAATTCTGCCTTTTCGTCATGATTTTCACTCTTTTACTCCTACTTACTCCTGTTTCTCTGTTTGTATACTCTGTCCCTTATCCTTGCCTGGGTAATTAATGTTGTCATTTCCTCTTTGTAAGCCCACATTTCCACAAACACTCACACACTCTCACACTCTCATACACACACACTCACACACTCACATATACCCTGTCACTCACTCACTCACTCTCCCTCTTTCATACACACAAATACACACTCTCATACATTCTGTTTCACCCGCATATATACACTCACACTTACACACTCTCTCTCACACTCTCTCTCACACTCTCTCTCACTCTTTCTCTGTCAAACTCTCTCTTGCACACTGTCTCACATACTGTTTCACGCACACCCCCTCCCTCTGTCTCTCTCATATACATACACACACACACACTCTGTCTCACATGCACCTATACGCTTGCGCGCGCGCACACACACACACACACACACACAAATGTGTGGGGTGAATTTGCAGATACATTCGATTTTGTTCAAAAAGCACACAATTTGTTTTCACAGTCAATCAATGGGGCATTTTGTAAATGGCTCAGTAGTTAGCACTGCTGCCTCACAGCGCCAGGGATCCAGGTTCGATTCCAGACTCAGGCGACTGTGTGGAGTTTGCACACTCTCCCCGTGTCTGCGTGGGTCTCTGTTGGGTGCTCTGGTTTCTTCCCACAGTCCAAAAATATGAAAATTAGGTAGATTGGCTGTGCTAAATTGCACATAGTGTTCAGGGATGTGTAGGTTAGGTGCGATAACCATGGGAAAAGCAGGGTTACAGGGTTAGAGGATGGGTCTGGGTAGGATGCTATTTGGAAGGTTGGTGTGGACTTGTTGGGCCAAATGGTCTGTTTCACCATTGTAGGGATTCAATGATTCCATGAAATAAAGCCAATCTAAGTCCAGGTTAAAACACGGGCAGATTCTAAACGAGGCCTCAGACCTAAAATGTCAGACCTGAGATGTCATCTCTTGTATACACTATTAAAACCTTTAGTTATCTTGGGGCAGTGACTTGAAAGAAATTCTGGGATTTGTATTTTAATCAATGGAAACCTGCATCTCCTTTCTAACTGATTAAAGATTTAACAGGAGGGAGTCAGCCAGCCATTTTAGGTTTATTCAATACATTTGCATCAGTTGTATGATCCTTTGATATTTTATTTATAAATTCTGTGTCTTGATACCTCCTGTCTCACTATGCTTGAGGAAGGAGCCCTCATTATTTGATTCGTCCATGCACTGGTCCCAGCATGGTTCAAGTGAAGCCACTCCATCAGAACAATGCCACTTTCCTGCAATATCTCCAAATACCATGAGGTCATCGGTCTCCTAATCGCTCTCATCTATCTCCTAATTGGTCTCATAATCTAATTGAATGGCAAAAAGGCTTGATGGGCTGAATAGCTTATTCTTGCTCCTGTGTTCTTCTGCTTTGATTATAACAATTATTTGTGTAAAAAATGCATTGTTTCATCTTCCCTGTAGCTGTTTTGCTAATGACCTTAGATCTGTGGCCTCACGTTACTGACTGTGCTCACGGTGGAAATAGTTTCTCATTATTTATTCTAACAAAACCATTGATGATTTTGAACACTTGATCAAATGTCCCCTGAACCTTCTCTACTATAAGCGGAACAAGCCCATCTTAACCAGTTTCTCCACCTAACTGAAGCGCTTCGTCTTTAGTACCATTCTAGTGAGTCTCTGTATTATTTCCCTGGATGCTGGCTTTATATAATATTGTGCCCAGAATTGAACATAGTTCTCTAGTTGATGCCTGACTATATTTTTACAAAGATTTAATATAACTTCCTTGCTTCCGTGCCACATGTTATGTGAATTGTATAAAGGACATGACTGACTGACCAACTCCTGTTTCTACATACTTCAACCATAGTTCACGCACAGCTCAGCATCACATAATTCGGTCTGCAGCTTTTAGAATTTTTTTCATGTGCTCGGGTGTCACTGGCTAGACCAACATTTATTGGCCCAATTGCTCAGACGGCAGCAAGCTAAGAGTCAACCTCTTTGCTGTGTCTGGAGTCACATGTAGACCAAGACCAGGTGAGGATGGCAGATTCCCTTCCCTAAAGGACAGTAGCGAACGAGATGGATTTTTATGACAATTGGCATAGTCAGCACTATACTAGCGTTTCATTCCAGATTTTTTACTGAATTCCGATTATGCCATCTACCGCGACATGGGTTTTAAATCCATGTCCTCAGAACGTTAGCTTGGGATTCTGCATTACTAGCCCAGTAACATCACCTCAATGCTACAACCTCCCAGAGAAGTAGCCATGTTTCTTACGTTCTTGCTTCGCACTCAATGGCTCCTGTACTTTTATTTTTGTTTTGTAGCATTGTGAAGCATTACCAGCACAGCCGATGCCGATATCAGCCACAGCAGTCCAGTGTCACCACAGTCGTCAAGTCTTATAGATGGGATGTGAGATATGCCCCAGCACTGAGCGACATTATCTGGTAGGATTCAAATCCCAGTGAAGCAATATTTCTAAGTCAAGATAGTGTGTGACTTTGAAGGGAACCTGCAGGTGATTGTATTCCCATGTATCTGCTACCCTTGTCCTTCTAGATGGTTGTGGACATGGGTTTGGAGAGTGCTGTTGAAGGAGCCTTGGTGAATTGTTGAAGTGCACCTTTTGGATGGTACAAACTGGTTCCACTTCCGTCGATAGTGGAGGGAGTGAATGATTAATGTGACACCTGTTAACAAAAATAGAAGTGTGGAGAATTGGAAGCAATTTAATTGGCTTTGATAAATTATTTAAGACTTCAGAACAAAAGGTAAGTACTAAAACAAAAACAAAGTTGCTGGAGAAGCTCAGCAGGTCTGGCAGCATCTGTGAAGGGAAAAACAGAGTTAACGTTTTGGGTCCGGTGACCCTTCCTCAGAATACATTTCTAGGCAGTGCATTCCAAACCTTAGTTAATCAGTTATGAAGAAGTTTTTTTTTGCAATACCCTAACTTCTTTTGCACATCACTGTAAATCTGTGCCCTCTCATCTTTGTTCCTTCAATATGTGGAAGCATCTCCAAATCTACATTATGCAGCCTGCTTATGATTTTGAAAACCTCAATCAAATCTCTTCTCAGCCTTCTCTCCGAGAAGGGCTGTTCTAATTTCTTCCATCTATACTCTGAAGTTTCTCATTCCTTGAACCATTCTTGTAAATCACTTCTCCAATGAATTCACATCTTTCCTTTAATGTGGTGACCACACTAAACACAATATGCCAAGTGTCTTGTACAAATTCAACATCATCTCCTTGCACTTGTGCTCTGCCCCTCAAAAAGCTAAGGACACCGTACACTTTATTAATACCATCAGGTATAGGAGCAGAACGTTGAATCTTCTCCACCATTCAAAAATGGCTGAAACGTTTCTCAACCTCATTCTCCTGCCTTCTCACCATAACCTTCGATCTCCTTACTAATCAAGAACCTAACTATCTCTGTCTTAAATGCAGTCAATGACTTGGCCTCCACAGCCTTCTGTGACAGATTTACCACGCTCTGACTGAAGAAATTCCTCCTTATCTCAGTCTGAAAGGTTTATCCCTGATCCTTAAACTATGACTCCTGGTTTTGGACTCCCCCACCATTGGGAATCTCTTTCCTGCATCTAACCTGTCTAGTCCTGTTAGAATTTTATGGGTTTCTGTGAGATTCCCCCTCATTCTTCCAAACTCCAGTGAGTACAATCCTAATCAACTTGATCTTTCCTCACATCTCCTGCCATCTCACAAATCAATTTGGTCAACCTTTGCTGCATTCCCTTTATAAGAAAAACATTCTTCCTCTGATAAGGAGACCAAAAATATGCACAGTATTTAGCGTGACTTCACCAATGTCCTGCATAATTACAGTAAGACATTCTTATTCCTGTACTTGAAACCTCTCTCTATGATTGCCAACATACATAAAAACATAGAAAATAGGTGCAGGAGTAGGCCATTTGGCCCTTTGAGCCTGCACCACCATTCAATACGATCATGGCTGACCATGCAATCACAGTATCCCATTCCCATCATCTCCCCAAACCCCTTGATCCCTTTAGCCGCAAGGGTCACGTCCAGCTCCCTCTTGAATGTATCTAATGAACTGGCCCCAACAGCTTCCTATGGGACAGAATCCCGCAGGTTCACAACTCTGAGTGAAGATATTTTTTCTCATCTCAGTCCTGAATGGCTAACCCCTTATTCTTAGATTGTGACCCCTTGTTCTGGACTTCTCCAACATTGGGAACATTCTTCCAGCATCTAGTCTGTCCAGTCCCATCAGGATTTTATGTTTCTGAGATGCCCCCTTCATTTTCCTAAATTCCAGCGAGTACAAGCCCAGTCGATCCAGTCTTTCCTCATATGTCAGTCCTACCATCCCAGGAATCAGTCTGGTGAACCTTTGCTGGACTCCCTCAATAGCAAGAATGTCCTTCCTCAGACTAGGAGACCAAAACTGTACACAGTACTCAAAGGTGTGACCTCACTAAGGCCCTGTATAACTGCAGCAAGACATCCTCACTCCGATACTCAAATCCTCTCGCTATGAAGGCCAGCATGCCATTAGCTTTCCTCACTGCCTGCTGCACCTGTGCACTTACTTTCAGTGACTGGTACGTAAGGACACCCACATCTCGCTGATTATTCTTCTTTCTCAAGTTACAGCCATTAAGATAATAATCTGCCTTCCTAATTTTGCTACCAAAATGGATAACCTCACATTTATTCACATTATACTGCATTTGCCATGCATTCGCCCATCCAGTCAGCCTGTCCAGATCACACTGCAACATCTTTGCATCTTCCTCACAGCTTACCCTTCCACCCAGTTTTTGTGTCATCTACAAATTGAGATGTTACATTTAGTTCCCTTGTCTAAGCCATCTAAATTTCTCATCACGTAATAGCTGGGGTCCAAGTACCGATCCCTGCAGCATTGCACTAGTCACTACCTGCCATTCAAATAAAGATGCATTCATTCCAATTCTTTGTTTCCTGTCTGCTAACCAGCTCTCTATCCATACCTATAACTAATGACACGGTGGCTCCGTGGTTAACCTCACAGTGCCAGGGACCTGTGTTCAATCCCTGCCTCGGGCGACTGTCTGCATGGGTTTCCTCCGGGTGCCCCGGTTTCCTCCCGCAGTCCAAAGATGTGCAGGCTAGGTGGATTTGCCGTGCTAAATTACCCATAATGTTCAGGGATGTATAGATTAGGTGGGTTACAAGGCAAAGGGGTGGCAGGATAGGTCGGGATGGGATGCTGTTCAGAAGACAGTGTGGACATGTTGGGCCGAAGGGCCTGTTTCCACACTGTAGGGTTTCCATGATCTACCCCCCCTAACCCATTTGCTTTAATTTTACACATTAATCTCCATCCTCAAAGACTTCCAGTAGATTTGTTAATGATGATTTCTCTTTGTAAATCCATACTGACTTGTCAATGTTCTTTTGAGGTTCCACAATGTCCTCCTCACAATTTACAATTCTTCCAAGTTTAGTGTCATCTGCAACTTTGAAATTATCCCCTGCATACCAAGCTCTATATCATTAATATATGTCAAAAAAGCAAGATTCCTAATAATGAGCCCTGGGGAATTCCAGTACAAACCTTCCTCCAGCCTGAAGAGTATCCATTGAGCATCACCGCGTTTCCTATCACTCATCTAATTTCGAATCCATCTTAGTGTCCCTTTTATACCATGACCTATCATTTTTCCTCAGAGTCTGTTTTGTGACAATGGATCAAACATCTTCTGAAAATTAATTTCTACCACATCAACAGTGTTATTCTCATCAAGGCTTTCTGTTACCTCTTCAAAGAATTCCTGCAAGTTATTTAAACATAATTTTGCTTTAGATTTTCATGCTAACCCGTCTGAATCAATACATCTTTTTCCATTTGACTCCTAACTCTATGCTTAGTAATTGTTTCTAGAAGCTTCCCCACTATGAAAATTAAACTAACTGGAGTACAATTGCTGGGAGTATCCTTACAACCTTTCTTGCACAAGGCTGTAATTTCTGCAGTTCTCTTGTCTTCTGGCAACTACTGAGTCTAGGCAAGTAAGAAAAATTTCTGCCCTCACTTTTTTCAAAATCCAGGTGGACATATGGGTATGATATGATAGCTTTCATTGCAATTTGGATTAAAGAAGGGTAGGAATTGCAGTTCATCATTCCTGGTGTCGGGATTTCAGTCGTATAGAGAGATAGAAATTACAAAAGACAAATGCAATAATGTTTGTCACGAGGGATGAAATGCTGGAAAAAGCAATCCATATGCTGCCTAGACTGTAATAGCACTAGTATAGGTGTGCCTGGGAGGTAACACTGTTAATGTGGGTATGCCTGGCTCGAGTGGATGTGCCTGGGCTGTAACTGTGCTAGTGTGGGTGTGCCTGGCTAGTGTGGGTGTTCCTGGGCTGTAACAATGTTAATGTGGGTGTGCCTGATCTGTAACTATGCAAGTGTGGGTGTGCCGGATCTGTAACTGTGCCAGTGTGGGTGTGCCTGGCCTGTAACTCTGCTAGTGTGGGTGTGCCGGATCTGTAACTGTGCCAGTGTGGGTGTGCCTGGCCTGTAACTGTGCTAGTGTGGGTACTCCGGGACTGTAACTGTGCCAGTGTGGGTGTGCCTGGCCTGTAACTGTGCCAGTGTGGGTGTTCCTGGCCTGTAACTGTGCTACAGATAGCAGGAACTGCGATGCTGGAGAATCTGAGATAACAAGGTGTAGAGCTGGATGAACAGAGCAGGCCAAGCAGCA